CCTGAGGAATAGGAGGTCAGATTTCCAGAGGTACCATATTATAATATTCAGAATGCCCAGTTTCAACAACAAAAAAATTATACAGTACGCAAAGAAATAGAAAAGTATGGCCCTTTCACAGGACCAGGAGTTATAGGAAATCAGAGAAACAAAGGAAGAACAAAATGAGAATAGCAATAAAAGGACAGAAATTATAAAAAGGAACCGAACAGAAATTCTAGAGTAAAATAACTGAAATGAAAAGTTCACTAGGGGATTCAGTAGAAGAGACAGTGAACTTGAAAACAGGTCATTTGAAATTATTGCAGCTCAACAATAAAAAGAAAAATTAATGATGATAAATGAACAGAGCCTGAGGGACTTGTGGGATACAATCAAGCACACAGCACACACATGATAAGAGAACCAGAAAAAGAAGAGAGAAAAGGAGGCAGAAAAATATTTGAAAAAATAATGTCCAAAAACTTCCAAAATCTGATGAAAGACAGAATACACATATCCAAGAAGCTCAAAGACTTCAAACAGGATAAACCCAAAGAGATCTACACCAAGACACGTTACAGTCAAATTATGGAAACCCAAAGACAAAAAGAGAATTCCAAAAGCAGCAAGAGAGAAGCACGAGATAATCATGTACAAGGATCCTCAACATTAACAGCTAACTTTTCATCAGAAACCATGGAGAACAGAAGGCAGTAGGATGACATAAAGTCCTGAAAGGACAAAGAAATCTGTCAACCAAGAAATTCTATATCCAACAAAGCTATCCTTCAAGAATAAAGGCAAAATTAAGACATTTCCAGAGAAATAAATTCTGAGGGAGGTCATTTCCAGTAGACCTTCCCTACAAGAAATGTTAGAGGGAGTCCTTTAGGCTAAAGAGAAAGGACACTAGACAGTAACCTCAAGCCATAAGAAGAAATAACGAGTATCAGTAAATGCAACTATATAGGTAAATATAAAAGTCAGTATTATTGTAGTTTTCATTTGAAAGTTATTGCTTTCCCTATACGATTTAAAAGACCAATACTATAAATCTATGTTAAAGTAACCAGGCACTTTGAAGAAATGGCTGACTTTAGGGCTGGAGCAGGGAAAGAACAAGATGAGCCTGGAACACCTTGTTGTGTCAGAAAACAAGGAGGTGCTCAAAGAGTGATGGAGATGTGCCAAAAGGGCACAAAAGCCATCACAAAAGGGTCCCCACTGACCAAATCTGGGACAAGCTCAAGATCAAGTATTTTAAGCTTCAAAATAAATAATGGGAAGAACAGATTATAGGCTATTGACTAAAATTCCAATATATAAATAAGTGGAAATGTTTAAGAGGAACATGATATTTAATAATATCAAAGTTATTCCCCACAAAATACTTGTTGAAGGAAAAAGAGTAATTTTCCAAGGTTGAAGGAGACATGACCACAATCAAGTGCTCAAAGTAAGTAATATCAGTAATGACAAATCATGCAAGGCGAACAATACAGTATCAATTTTGTGATATTCTTACCAAAGATCCATACTCTAAATCTAATCATGAGGGAAAAGCAGACAAACCCAAATAGAGGAACACTGTACAAAATAACTGGCCTGTAATCTTTTTTTTCTTTTATATTTTTAATTATTATGAGTAC